TCTTGCCACCAATAGGACCAAAGAAATGGTGTAGTAAGTGCAAGGAGAAATGTGGTCAACGTTTTATTTTTCAGATGAGAGAGATAATACCAGGATTGATTCTGATGGGAATAATTTTATGGAAAGCAAGAAGTTGATAGTGTTGGAGGTAAAGAATTTCTGAAGCAGTGTCTTCATTCAAATGAGAGAGAATGGGGTCTTGTTAAAGTAACCATACATTCTTTTTACCTTGGGACAGTCTCAGTTTTTGCTTATTGTCCTGGTGGCCTATTCAGTTAGCATGCTTTCTCTCTCAAGGTTATAGCACTGTCCAAAAAACAATGAATTATATGACTTTCCTGGACCTAGTGCACCAATAGAGGAATTGGCTTATGATGACAGGATAGAGTACATGGGTATGGATGAGAGTGAGTGGGTAGATGTACTGGTGAGAGACTGTGGAAGTTCTGATTGCTTCAGTTTTTACAGTGAAGTTAAAAGTGGGATCATCTAGACTGAAGATTGGGAAGACAAAGAAGTAGTAGTGAAATTTCGATGTTCCTCTTTTCCTGATCTTTCCATCCTTGTGATTTATGTACTCTCCTTTCATTTAGTAGGAGGATTTTAGGAAGGAGCAAAACTGAACATATGTTAGTCATCTAGGGAAGGATTATCTATTCCATTTCTTTTGGATTTTAACTTGGTGATCTCCAGAGTAAAATGCAAGCATCCAGAAGGTTTTGTTATGGTTTGTGTCTGTGTGTCCCCCCAAAGCCTCATGTGGTCATGGGGCAGGCTTTTGGAGTTTGATTGCTTATGGGTGTGAGAGCTGCACCCGCCCTGGGGTAGATAGTTTGCATATGTAAGGGAGAGCAAGAGGCTGCTTGAGGCGATTCCTGGCTTTTGTGGTTGTTGTGTTCTGCCGCCATGAGCTGTAGCCCTCTGCCATGTGCCACTCTGCCTTGTAACCTGCCAAGTACGGACTGAAACCTCCACAAACTGTAAGCGAAATAAACCTTTCCTTCCTTAATTTTGGGCGTCAGGTATTTTGTCCCAGCAACGAGAGAAAAGTAACCAAGACAGTTGAATAAAACACTATCCTTTTGAATGACAGAAAAATATCATAGGCCATTTATCTCATCAGAGTTTAATTTCTAGTTTTTGTTTATAAATTCTTCAAAATAAATAATTTATAAATATATATACATATTGGAATCTGTGGTCAACATTTGTTATGGATAGAGGTATACTAATCAAAAGTTTGGCAGTTACTGCATTAAACTATCAATTTTTAAGAGATGAATTGCATTGATTTTAATTCACGCATTTGATTTATAGCTATTCATAATGAAAAAAGTCAGTACATGTAATAGTGCACAGAAAGGATGCTTGCAAAGCGAAGTGTGATGGCACAGCCTATAATCCCAGAACTTTGGAGGGTGAGCCAGGACTGCCACAAATTCAAGGCCAGCCTAAGCTACACGGCAAGACTCTGTCACAAAGAAATAAAATTAATTAATTAATTAACAATAAATTTTTAAAAAGAAATCATGCTTGTAATAGGAATGAAAATAATGTACCTGGAAGAATGCAGTGTGCATCTTGGCACAAACTTCCACCCAAACATTGATAACTCAAGAAAAATGTGTGTTTTGTCTCCTCATTTAACATTGATTCTTTTTGAAAAACCTGGGAGGTAGTATTTTACTGCCATCATAATTGTATTAGTACTTATCTTGGGAGCCCATTACATTAACAGGGATCTATTAAATGCCTGGCTTCCACAGCAAATATAATTTCCCCTGTCTACATAAAAACTAATTGAGCTAGGTATGGTGGTGCATGCCTGTAATCTCAGCACTCAGGACACTGAGGCAGGAGGATCGACAAGAGTTTGAGGCCAGCCCAGCCTACATAACAGTGAGTGCAAGGCCAGCCCGGATTACAAAATGAGACCCTGTCTCAAAAAAAAATTGAAATTTGCACACATACGTTCTTTTAAGTATATATTATTCCATGGACCTTCAGCTCATGTGTGGCAGTAATGTTAAGGAATGTAAAGCAACAAAAGTTAAAAAAAAAAAAACTAAATGATGGGGAGGAGCAGTCAAGAAAAGCTGTTGACCTTGGTTAACTGGTAGTTGAAAAGAACGGTTGCACCTCAGCTTTTGGACTTGAAACTTAAATACTTCATTCTTTTTGCTTTGCCCATCTTTGCTAATTATCTATAATTCCTAAAGGATTTAACTTAATTAACCCAGTGTTAAAGCAAGGATCCATAAATGGAGTTTTACTTTTAAAATATCATTTTTATAACCTAATGTTTCCAGCATAATGAATTCCCTATATAATTAAAAGTTTGATTAAACTAGAGCCTACAAAGATACCATAATAAAAGATTTCTGCAGAGATCCCTGAACAGATTCACAGCGTGGCCAAGAAATCTTTATAGCTTAGATGTATTCAATAATTTATTTTAACCTTTGCCAAATCAAAGCAAAAATAAAAGCATATACAAGAAATAAAAATAGTACGCCAGCTTGAAAGATTTGAGAATTGCTAAGTATGGGACTAGGGTCTGTCATCGGCCCCCTTGCAAAGAGCTAGAATCTGTTCCACCACAAGAGGACGGTAGCACTCAACTGATAATAAAGAATACTGCCGAGTGCCAGAGATCTCCTTAGAATTGTTATTAGAGCCATCTTTAACACATCAATCTCTAAAAGGACAAGAAAACAGGAATCACATCCCAGATAGGCTTGGAGTTTTTGTCCCTTACAACAATAAGACAGGAAATAAGCTACAGGGTTTTGTGTAAAGAAGCAATCTCTCTCTCTATCCTGGTGTCCTTGAATCACCATGGTGATGGCTTCAGATAGGGCCTGTTCATTTGGATATTCAGCTAAGAACACTGTGGCAGGCATGAGTGGTACAGAGATCCTACTGGGTATTCAGAAAGGGCAGAATAAAGCTGTGAGGAACAGCAGAACTGTTTTATCTCTGAAAGTTAGTTAGGACCAATTTTAGGAGTCTCCTAGGGTAAATTTGTATTTTATTTAGATTCATAACACTGGAACAATAAGATAATCAAAGTAATATTTGAAAGCCTATAGCATTATCTTTTAAAGTTTCCAGCTAATTAACACCAAGAGACGGCAGTATAACAAATGAACTCTCAATATTTTATGTATGTATTTTGATTGATCTAACAGTGCTCATAAAATGAGATAAATCAGGAATATTAAATATGTTCTCATGACCAGCATCTGTTTTTGTCTTTATGATAACTGTTGCTAATGTTGTTGGGCTATAATCTAGAAAAACTTTTATTATTTGAAAATCAAATTAAATTATTCCTTTATTCAATGTTGTTTTAATTCAACATTCATTGAACAATTAAAATTGAATGAGAAGACAGTGCCTCTGTGTTGAGAATCTTAGAAAATTAATTGTACACACGTTTTAAAGTCATCTTCAAATAAAACAGAGACTTGTGAATGTTGTCCATGTTTTATGTGCCTTTCCTATCACATATTATAACTTTTGTTGTAGTAATACCTTCAAAACCATAGGAAAGCTAAACCTAATGCAGGAAATCTTCTTTGTGTTGGTAGACAGGAAATAAAATGGATTCTGTTTTTTAAATTATAATAGATAATTATCATTGTTAATAAGCTATGGATAAGTTTTATATTTAAAACACTTACCCAATTACATTTAATGTTTACTTTATTTATTTTTGGTACCAGGAATCGAACTCATAACCTCGTACTTGCCAGGCAGGTGCTGTGCCGCTGAGCTATATCCATGGCCCTGCTTATTCAATTTAAATTAGCAAGTATTTATTTGGTTAGGCACTGAGTTAGATGCTAAGAATAACAAAAATGAATAAAACACAGACCTGAGCATAGCATGTCTTGAAAGAAGGAGGGTAATTAGTATTTTTGAGCAACTACTCTGTGACAGATAGTTCTCATTATCCTCATCAAAATCCTGAAGTATTATACCTACTTTATGGAAAAAAGAAAAGATCTTGGAGTTTTAAGGGTGTGCTCAAGTCACAAAATTAGTTCAGATAGAAGCAAGACCAGAGCCCTAATGCAGGATCCGTTCAATGCTAAGCTATATACTTTTTCCACTGGACCATTCTTTCTGAATATTAGTATTGACTCCTAAGAAAAATAATTTTTATGAATAGCAGTCTAGCAATTTTCAATTTAACAAATGTAACTATATAATGATGGGCAGTAGTGTATATTTTTTAAAAATTGAATTAGAGCTGGATGTGTTGGCGCATGCCTGTAATTCCAGCACTCGGAAGGCTGAGGCAGGAGGATTGTTGCAAGTTTGAGACCAGCCTGGGCTACAAAGTGCGCTCAAGGCCAGTCTGAACTCCATAGTGAGACCCTGTCTCAAAAAGACCAAAAAAAATTGAATTAGAGAATATTTCAAATATACAAGTATAGAGAATAACACCTATGTAATCATTACAAAGCTACAGTCTGTATTCAACCTTAACATACCATGTTTGAGTCAGACATTTTTAAAGAAATAAAACATAATAAGATCAGCTGAGGTTTTCTACCTCTCCCTGATCCCATTCTCTTTTCCCATAACATTATTATGAATTTGGCTATCAGTTTTATGCATGATTTCCTCCTTTTACTGCATCCTCATGAATTCATAAACAGCGTAATACTATTCTGCAGGTTTATAAACCACTTTTTGAGTATATCCAGATGGACAGAATACCCTACACTTTACTTTTGGGGTTCCATATGTTTTGAGGTTTATCTATAATGGTATATACATATATAACTAATTCTTTAATTGGTAAGTACTGTGTAGTATTTTATTAGTTCAATATATTAAAGTGTATCTATCCATACTCTTGTAACTCCATATTTAAATAAGATTCTGCTATGGTTTTGACTCAAAGCCTATTTTAATCATAATATTAGAATTTATTTTAATAATAAAAGTACAAAAGTATTCACTTTTTTTTTTTCCTCTTGATGCAGATCATTCCCGAATCGAAGTGTGGAGATTTGGTGATATCGTCATTGAACTCCTGTACCACTGGCTGCACATCTGTTCAGCTCTCATGAAGCTAACCAAAAAACTAAACAGCACTATTAGACCTCCATTGCCCTCCAAGTCTGACAACTATATATATGCAAAAATGCCAGGGGAAACTTTGCCAGGAAAATCCTAGTAGAACTGGTACTCTATTTAGAACACAGTACTTTGATCACATTCATTGCTGTTAACTTTAAAATATTTTCAAGTGCAAGGAACACCACATAGACATATTTGACTCCTAGACATTTACTTTAGTATGTTTAATACCAGAAGCTCTAGACCTATGCAGAAATTTTATCTAAGAAATATCTGATTAAGGTAGCTGTAACCAAATGTACTTAAGAATATTATAAAATATGTTTGTAGTCCCCTTGTGGTATGAGCTTTGGATATGCCATGAGACTACTATGGTTGATTGGGTATTTTTCATTCTTTTTAGGTACAAAGTACAGAAAGCTGTGGATTTATATAAAAGATGGCAGGGGTTTTTTAATATCAAAAGAGTACCAAATAATAAAGATTTTAAGAAATAGACTTGGAATTGTTTTCCTAATTTTCCAAAGACTTATCTGAATACCACCTCTTCCCCTTCTCCTCCACTCCCCTCTCCTTAACAACTTAAAGTCATTTTAATAAACAGAAATTCTTGCGGGAAAATGTTGAGCCATGACTCAGGGAAAAGTGAAAACAGTGTTTTTTAAAAATGACAGAAACCTCTCAAGTTTGAGAACTACAAAAAAAATTTGTTTAAAGCTTGTTATTATGGCAAACTACTGCTCTATGTGAGATTTCATCTTTGCAATAAGATATCTGATGACAGAGTCCATTTTTAATAAAATTTTGGGAAATTAAACTGTATTTTATTAGGTTGACAAAATGTGATGTGTTGCAAAAATCTTATAATTGGAGATTGAAAGTCCCTTTTTAACCTTTTCTGATAAGACTGCAGTGTTATTACCAGTCCTCATCTTTCGGATGATCTCATGCCTAGTTTTAACCTATCAGCCTCTTTCATATTTGGAGGACATCTTTGGGCATTTGCAGCAACATTTCTAGGAACAATGTTCTTGAAGATATTAAACTGATAGCCATATATCCTGATGGCTTCAGAACAGGCTTATGAAAAATTCACTGTGAATACAAATAACATTTAAGGCAGCAAGGGAAGATTTTGCAGAACGTTCTGTATTTAACCATTATCCTGGAAATTAAATTAAATAAATGACTTGTAGCTGAATAACAAACACCATGCATTTTCATGACACTTTAACTTGAAGTATTTTCACCCACTAGCTCATTTGATCCTCCCAACAATCTATAAAGTAGATATTCCTGAGACTATTTTACAAAAGAGGAAACAGGCTCAAAGAATGAGGTCTAGTTCACACAGCTAGTAAGAAACAGGGTTAGAAACACCCATGTATCCTAATTTCTAGTTTACTGCCTTCGCCAGCACCCCAGACATCTCGCTAACACTGTCTAATTTTTTGAGTCTTGCTGTGTAATTCAGGCTGGTCTTGATCATGGCAGTGATCCTCCCATTTCAGCATCCTGAGTACAGGGATTACAGGCATGTGCCACCACGCCAAGTTTCTTATTAAGCTAATGACCATACTATCAGTCTTTTGTAAACTACTTTAAAATTAAGCAACCAGCGACCCAAATTAGTTGAGGCTTTCAAATTTCTTCTTAGGCTAATGACCACACCATCAATCTTTTTGGAAACTACTTTAAAATTAAGCAAGCAACAAGCCAAATTGCTTAAAATATAATCTATCATATAAAAGTAAAATACCATCCTTTAATATCTAGAGTTTACTTTTTTAGTGAAAAGGATGTTACTTTGACAAAAATTTTGATACAGGTTATATCTAAATCCATTGATTTCATTGTTAAAGGAGCATCATGGTGGATACCCCCAACCATGTTTTTCTGATGAAAATGTGTACTTTAGCATAATGGTAGCCAGCTGTGTGTCTCCATAGCTGTGCTGGGTTAATACAGAAAGCAATCTTTATGTTCACTGACTTGGTACAATGAACAGCAAGGTGTACAAAGTGTTGATGGGTAAGCTGTACCCACGTTGTGTGCTGTGTTACATTTTTGTGTATTTATAACTTTTTTTTACATATTTTCTTTTTACTTTTCTTGTAGAATTAGCCCAGCTGAGTACAATGTCATATGAAAATCCTCCCAGTACAACTTTAGGAGGAGGCTTAAAGTGAGTCATCATCAGGTGATTCATCTACCAATAATGACTTAGATCATGTAAACCAAAGTTAGCAAGATATGACAGATGCAGAAGTACAGAATGAAGACTTTGTTTCAGATAAGGAAGAAAACAGTAATGTAAATAAGTATTTGACAGTGAAATGTTACAAAATAGTCGGGCCAGTCCAATGTTAGAATTAGGTCAGAAAATGTTATTAGGTTCTTGCCAGGGCGAAACCTATTGGACAGAATGCCAGTAACATGATTCAATTTTGGAAATTGTTTGTAACAGATGATATGCTACAAAATGTTTTGAAAAACACTAATAATGAAATACAAGTAAAACATTCGGTATACATCAATACTCAAAAATATATTTATCGTGACATCTCACTGTGTGAACCAGAAGCATTCATAGCAGGACTCATTCTAATTGTCAGAATCTAAGGCTCTATGGAGAAGTGACAGGTGTGGCACTGAGATTTTTAGAATAATGACACTCGAGAAATTTGGTTTCTTTCAAAATTGCCTACATTTAGACAACACAAAGATCAGCCAAGAAAGAAGAAAGAAAAAAGAAAAAAATCCAACAATTTGGCTGCTATTTGCTCATTTTTTGAAAGCTTTGTTTTGAATGGTCAAGCAATTTATACACTGTCTCAATACATGACAATTGATAAACAAATTGCATCATTTCGTGGTTGTTGAAGGTTTTTTAAATATGTGTCAAATAAGCCTTTCAAATATGGTATAAAAATACATGCCCTGGTAGATATGAAGACATTTTACACCTTGAGTTTAGAAATTTATCCTTGAATTTGGCCAAGGTCTTTATTCATGCGGTGATAAAACATATGATGTGGTGAACAGATTTGTGGCTCCTATTTAAAAAGTAAGCCAGGGGGGCTGGGAATTTAGCTCAGTGGCAAAGCGCCTGCCTGGCAAGCGCAAGGTCGTGAGTTCGGTTCCTGGTACCGGAGAAAAACCAAAAAAATAAATAAATAAATAAATAAAATAAAAAGTAAGCCAAGTGTCACATTCAACAATTGGTTCACAAGTTACCCATTGATATTATACTTGCTAAAAAAAACTAAAAAAAAAAAAAAAAAAAAATCAGTTGACCAGCACAGGAACTATTCACCAGAATAAAGTGGAGATACCTGGAAAAATGTTGCAAAGTCACAATAGAGAAATACATACTATTGCAAGGGCAAGCAGAAACACCAAAATGACACCCAGGATTTGGAGGCAGATTTATTATACATCAATGGGCACTAATTGGGGTCATTCCCAAAATATCAGGCCCTGATCTCTGGTGGTCTAGGATATATGAGATAAGCAAGCAAGAAGAACAGAGGAAGAAAGGCTTCTCAGTTGGGGATTGGTTTATACAATGTGCATCATAGTGACCAGCTATACATCACAGTGACCAGCTATTTCTAAGAGATAGTAGCAACTGGAATCGCTTCTCAGCCTTTTGGCTAAGATCAAGTGTAGTAGCAATTGGAAATGGAACAGGAACTATTACCTGGGAAACTAACAAACTGAAGTATACTGGCTGGGGGCATCTTCTGTTACATTTCCTCTCTTTTCATTTCCCCAGCAAATCTTTGCTGGGCATATTACACGTGATCTTCTGAGACAAGGCCCACTAGCAGTCAGTGATCCTAGGATGGGCCCTAGCCAAGCTCTCCAAGATTGTCTTACAACATGATGTTTTGATGGATGTATCAAAAATCAAGGGGAATAGGTATGGAGCAATGCAGTGAACAATGTCCTCAGGCTTCAGCCATGCATTGACTGGTCAGCATCCAGAGTGACCAGAGCAGGGCTTTGAGTGTGTTCTCTCTTCAGAGTGAGCTTTCTGGTCCAAGGTAAATTTTTCAGTGGATCTAAGGCTGGATTTCTAAAACTTGTAGTTAATATGTATGCAAGAAATGTTAAAGATATAGCCGGTCTTTTAACTGGTTACAAGCTGTTTCTATAGGGTTATTTTTTATTTTTGTGTGATTTATGTATATATCTTTAACTGGGGAAAGTCCACTATCATGCATGAAGTCAGGGCCAGTGACACAGATGCTGAAGTCTGAGCTGGCTGCAGGGGTATGGGTGCCAGTGCTGCAGTTTGAGCTTGCAGAACAAATGGTGGGGGCAGGTCTGGTGGCTGGGGTTGATGTTTCAGTCAGTCTGATCCCTACAGGGGGCTTAGGTTTCCAGACTGGATTATTTTGTGTCATTGGTGGCAGGTTTCCAAAGAGCAGCAGGAAGCAGTTTGCTGTGCAGATCATCCCCACAGGAGAGTTTTGGCCAAGATAGTTTTTTTCCAAGGTGACCACAGCATATCTAGCCTGTCAGATTTCATTCCTAAAAGAGCTACTGCCATCTGTAAACAGGGTGCACTCAGCATCTATCAGGGGGTACATTTTTAGAACAGTTCATCCCAGTACAGCATGTGCCACCTGGACAGTTAAGTGTCGGTCTAAGGTGAGCTTGTCAGCTTTCTTGATCAGAAGTATGGTGGCTGTTAGAGCACAGAGGCAAAGCAGGGAGGCATCCCTGAGTAACTGGGTATAAATATTTGCACAGGTAGGCCACTGGGCGCTTCCAGAGGCTGACAGTCTAAGTGAACATTATTGTTTTTGTGAACCCAAGGATCCAGATTTTATAGAAGCCAGCAGCTCCAAGAAATTTGTGCAGTTTTTTCTTGTAACCAGTTTCTGCCAGATATTGCAGCAGAGCTTTTGTGCCTTTCCAGCAGGCAGCTTGGAAGTGTCATTAATCAGAAATGCGTTTTAAAGAGGGAACAAGTTTTTGAACCTCTGGGAGGTTGAGTCCAGGTCAGTTGCAAAGAGGTGCTGGCAGACAGGAGCCAATCAAAGGCAGAAGAAGGCATTTTTTAGGCAGGTATACCAGCAGTCTATGCATGGCAGAAGACTGAGGCAATGTATATGGAGGGCAATCACAGCAGTATTGGCAGCTCAGAGATCTTGAGCTGGCTTTATAGGCAGGAGAGGTATATTTTAGCAGTTTGACAGTCTACACTGTTTGCTCAGGGGAATGTGATGGAGCTGGAAGGGGCACAGAAACAGGCTGACTCAGAATGGCCACATCTGTTGTCAGAGCCTCCTTGAAAATAGTAGGAGTTCTCACACCCTTGTGGCTGCATTGTTGATGCATGGAGATCTTGCCCAAGGTGATTAACAGTCTATTAGGCTGTTATGTGGCTGGATGCCTTTTTGTGTTTCCTGACTTCTGACAGCAATGGGGGTTTCAGGGAGGTGGCATGGTTGATAGCCAGGCCCAGAGGCAAGTCTTTAGTCTCT